CTTCTCTCTCGTTGCGGTGCAAGGGCTTCTCAGTGGTGGCTTCTCTTGTTGTAGAGTGCAGGCCTTAAAGTGCGGGCTTCAGTAGTTGTGACCCTCAGGCTCTAGAGCACAGACTCAGTAGTTGTGGTACATGGGCTTAGTTGCTCTGCATCATGTGGGATCTTCCTGGATCAATTCTTTATCACTGAGCCACCAGGGAAGCCCTATAGTTGATTGTTTTCCTCTTTCTGTCTTTAGAAATTTCTCTTTAGCTTTAGCCATTTTTATTAAAATATGTCTTGGTCTAGGTCTGTTTGGGTTTATCTTGTTTGGAACTCTCTGTGCTTCCTGTATCTGGATATCTGTTTCCTTCTTTAGGGTTGGAAAGTTTTCAGCCATAATTTCTCCAAATACATTTTCAATCCCCTTTTCTCTTCTCCTTCTAGAATCCCTATTATATATAGATTGGCAATTGGCATGCTTTATATTATCTCACAAGTCTTTTATATTGCTTTCATTTCCCCCCCCCCCCAATTTGGCTTCCTGTCTGCTGTTTTGATTGGGTGATTTCCGTTATTCTGTTTTCCAGGTCACTTATTCTTTCTTCTGCATTATACATTCTGCTGTCCATTGCCTTTAGCTCCACTTTTGTCTTGGCAAGTGAATTTTAAATTTTTTTTGCTTCTTTATGTTTCTAGTTCCTTTTTACAGTAATTTGCATTTCTGTCAATAGCCTTTCTTAATTTCTCCAGTATTTTCATTACCTCCTTCTTGAACTTGGTGTCTTTTAGACTGAAGAGATGTCATTGTTTGCTCTTTCAGGGGAATCTTCTTGGTCTTTTAATTGGGAGTGTTTCTTCTGCTTCTTCATTTTGCTTATATCCCTCTTACTCTGTGAGTTTTGAAAAAAAAACAACTATCTACTGTAGTCTTGGAGGGCTATTTATATGTGGGAGCATCCCTGCATAGCTTGTGTGAGTTTAATATTTTCTGGCAGGAGGGCTGTTTTGGGTTTGGGTGGTGTCTCTTTCCTCAGGACTCCTAGAGTCCAAGTAGCCTGTGCCCTGCCTCCTGAGCATGCACTCGGAGAAAGACGCTCCTCTGGTGGGTCCACCCTCTCCTCACACACCGCCCAATAATGGCCTTGCTTCTCTAATGGGCCCAGGCATCTTCCCATACTCCCTTGCTTGTGGCACACCACATCCTATCCAGCCCCCTCAGGCTGTCTGCACACAGCCAACCCCAGTCCTCTCCCCAGAGTCTGAGCTCTGGAACCCGAACCTCGCTCCCCAGCCCCCACCCACCCCAGTAGGGGGGCATCTCAGTCTGGGGAGGGCTGGGCAGCACTGCTCGTCTCTGCGGGTCTCTGTCTGCTTTGCCCTTCGCAGACAGGTTGCTGTGCTTTCCTCCAGGACTCCGGAGCTCCCCCTCTGTCCTGGCTGATCTCCCTGCAAGAGAGGGCCTTTCCCAAGGGCAGGAACCTTTCCTCCTTCACAGTCTCCCTCTCAGGCGGTCAGGCTCCCATCTCGATTCCTTTCTCTTTTCTCTCTATGTCCCACCCAGTTACATGGAGATTTCCTTGCCCTTTTGAAAGTCTGAGGTCGTCTGCCAGTGTTCAGTAGGTGTTCCGTGAGAATCGTTCCACACATAGATGTATTTTTGATGTATTTGTGGGAGAAAGTGAGCTCCATGTCCTACTCCTCCGCCATCTTGATCCAATCCTGTTATGATGCCCTTTAAAACATCCTGTGAAGAATAATACTTTTAAAGGGAATATTTTTTTTGAAGTAGTTTCTTTTTAACTTTCATACAATCCTAATATTCTAGGTCATGTTTCCTTCAGTTGCTTGAGTGAAGGCCAGACTCAGTGCCCAGAGACTGGAGGCATGAAGATGAACAGGACACCCTTTAACCATCCAGGAAGATGGATCAGGGCACTGGGTTCCTTCTGCCTCCTACTCCATCCATGCTTGGCAGGGATCATGTCTCATTAAGTTGGCAGCTCCCTCACAGCCAGCACTTAACTGCACATGCAGAATGTTCTCAATAATTATTCATTAGTTGAATTGGCCTAAGCTGGTGGTAAAGAGGAAATGCAAGGGAAAGCAAGAAGTATAATGAGCCCTTCTTGGACCGAGTCCTGTGATTGTTGATTTCTCATTGAATCCTCACTATGACATTAAAAAGATATCACTTCTGTTTTACAGGTGAGAAAACTTGGTCAATATAAATGTCTTTAGAAGAGTTACTATATCTAGGTTGAAGGTATCCTAGTATTCTACTCTTTGCCTTTTCCCTCTGTCAAGTGCATTTCAGGGACTAGCTTATTTACTCAAGGAGATAGGCACTAGTGCTGTTCCCATTCTGAAGATAAGAAAACTAAACTTAGGGTAATTAACTTCCACTGTCATCAGGTAAGCGGCAGAGCTGGATCCTGCGTGTCCCTGTGTGCTTCTAAGCCGTAGGGTCACAAAGAGTCACGTGTGACTGTAGCCAACTTGGCATATACAAGCTCTGTGGAGCACATGGGCCCTCAGCCCCATGGCAGCCCTTAAGACTTGTGTGTCTTATGCACACACACACTCCTACACCTCCCAGACCTACCCTAGTGGTTCTCAGCTCTGGGTGCACATTAGGATCTAGTGGGAAGCTTTCAAAAATACAGATTCCAGGGCCCAAGCCCACAGCGGAGGGTGGGGCTTCTCAGGCTTATGGGTTTTTAAAGAGCAGCCTAGCCTCAGTCCCTTGTGGCTCAGCTGGTGAAGAATCTGCCTGCAGTGCAGGAGACCCTGGTTTGATTCCTGGGTCTGGAAGATCTGTTGAAGAAGGGATAGGGACTACCCACTCCCGTATTCATGGGCTTCCCTTGTGGCTCAGCTGGTAAAGGATCTGCCTGCAGTGTAGGAGACCTGGGTTAGGAAGATCCCCTGGAGAAAGGAAAGGCCACCCACTCCAGTATTGGGGCCTGGAGAATTCCATGGACTGTATAGTCCATGGGGTTGCAAAGAGTCGGATAGGACGGAGCGACTTTCACTTTCATTTCAGCCGGAGTTGAAGAGCACTGTGCTAAAGCTAAAGTTCCCTCTCCTGCCACTTATATTTAGGCTCATAGTCTTGACTAGTTCCTTGAATGAGGGGAATGACTTACATGATTATGTATGAATTCCTGCAATGTTTCGCCCTGTCCCTCGAACATAAGGAGTGCCAAAAGAGATCGTTGAATACAGAGCAGTAGTTTTCAAGGAAACCTTCATAAGCAGTAGAGCCTAGAGAGGAGCAACAGTTCCGCTTCAGATGGAAAGCACAGTGCTATACGGGAATGGCTTATGTTTGGCATTGTTTATTTTTATTTAGTGAATTTAAGAATGCAATCCTTGGGATTGCTATTTTAATATCATTGCCACCAATAGGGGCTTCCCTGGTGGCTCAGCAGTAAAGAATCCACCTGCAATGCAGTAGGTGCAGGAGATGTGAGTTCAGTCCCTAGGTCGGGAAGATCCCCTGGAGGAGGGCATGGCAACCCACTCCAGTATTCTTGCCTGGAGAATCCGGTGGACAGAGGAGCCTGGCGGGCTGCAGTCCATAGCGGGTCACAAAGAGTAGGACACAATTGAGTAACTGAGCACCGACACCACCAATAGAGGATGGAGTTGTTAATAAATAACGTTATTTTAATATATAATAGTTGTTAAATCCCTCTAATCACTAGGCTTGAGTACATGTCTTTGGTGAAGATGCGGATACAGAATTGGGAGGCTCTGTTTCATAATATGGGAATAATGGTAACGTGAGGACTGTGGAGGACCCAGGAAAACAAAGACAATTGCTCCTTCTTCCACTGTTTCCTTCTTCCACTGATGGGGCAGCACTACATGATGCTCAATGAAGCTGAAAACAAACCACACATATTAGGTAACTAACTTTCATGAAGTGCCTCAAGAGGGATGTCAGAGAATTTTACCACCTTGTAGATTTGTTCCTAAGCGTCACTGTGGAAGATTCCCCAACCTTACATAGATGACTGAAGCGGTTCCAGTGAATTCCAGGGATGTACGCTGAGTGCCTAGTACATTTGTGTTAAGGATAGTGGAGACTGGTAGACTGTAGCAGTGCTCCTCAGTCTTGTCTTCATCATTGTCCCCCCCGCTCAATGCCCACAAAAGACCCTTTGTAGGCATTTCTTTCCCCCTAGTCATCCCTCTGCAGATACACTATAAATGGACTTACATGCTGTATGTTTATCCTGTGCTTTATACTTAGAAAAAGAGTAAGATTCCACGTCCCTCTCCCCCCAACCAGTTGTTGCCCCCATGGGGTCTCTGTCTAAGGGGGTATTCTTGTGGTCAGCACTGGACAGGAGTCTTTGATTGACAGCAGTCTTGGACATTGCTGGTCGGGAGGATATGTAAACATTACAGGTCAAAGTGAAAGTGGCTCAGTTGTGTCACTTTGCGACCCCATGGACTATACAGTCCATGGAATTCTCCAGGCCAGAATACTGGAATGGGTAGCCTTTCCCTTCTCCAGGAGATCTTCCCAACCCAGAGATTGAACCCAGGTCTCCCGCATTACAGGCGGACTCTTTACCAGCTGAGCCACAAGGGAAACTAAATCATTACAGAGACCTGAGCGTATTTCTGTCTCTGGACTTTGTGCCCAAGCTGACAAGAATCTGGACTAAAACCCTCTTGGTTAAGTGAGGATCCCAGTGAGAACCTATGACCAACTTCCTACAGTTCACTGGGAAAGTTCTGTCATAGTTCTTGGAATGAACATTATCAGAGTGGTTCTTCCTCCTGGCCTGCTACACCCTCGGAAGAGTGAAGGAAGAAAACTGATGTTCTCTGTGGGCCTGTTGGTATGTGTGTGAGATCCATGGGATATGAAAACTGAAATAAAGACGGACAGTGGGTAATAGAAATCCATCTTACGTGTTATTCTGAACTATCAGTAAAACAAGTCTTAATGCCCTTTGTCTCGGTTTTCTGTGCTTTTTTTTCTTTCTGTTATCCACTCCACAGGAAACATCCAGGATGTGGGAACATTGTGACATTTGCACAGTTTTTATTTATCGCTGTGGAAGGCTTCCTCTTTGAGGCTGATTTGGGAAGGAAGCGTCCGGCTATCCCAATAAGGTATGGCACGTTGAAGTCTTCTTTTAGCCCTTTTAAAAAACTTAACAGCTCTTCTTCTTGTAACCATATAAAAGGAATGTGAGGCATCCTTTTATAAGATTTATATCAAAGATAGCAGTAGAATAATTCATTTTCTGAATTTAATATGTGGTGAAACTCCAGGGACCCTATTTTTAGAATACAATTCCTGCCACAACACTTAAAATAACTCATTTGTGTGTGTGTGTGTATCTTCTATGTCTGGCATATGGTCAGTTAAAGGCCTAGTGTGATAACCAATTTTTAAGTACTTAGGTATGTTATCGTCCTGATGGTAACCAAATATGGTAACAGTGGTATTGTTACTTTTAAAAAAACTGATGGCTTTTGGAGATGGAAGTGGTAGTTACACAATATTGTAATATGTTGGGTTGGTTTTTCTGTAACCCAAACAAACTTTTTGGCCAACACAATACTAAACACCACTGAATTGTTCACTGTAAAATGGTTGGTTTTTTATTATGTGAATTTCACCTCAATCAGAACAAAATGAATGGCAAACTAAGGTAAGATTCATATTTCCAGACCTCCATCCATTAGTCCAAATTTGTGTAATAATATTCATGGGGCCAAATAGAAACAGGGCAGATCTTGTAATAAACAGTGTATTGAAAAACAGTGTTCTTGCTGTGAGATACTTGAAATCAAAGTGTATTTATTATTTTTTAAATTTGATTTATATTTTATATTGGGGTAGCATTGATTAACAATAATTTGTTTCAGGTGTACAGCAAAGTGATTCAGTTACAGATATGTATACGTATACATATATCCATTCTTTTTCAGATTCTTTTCCTATATAGGCTATTACAGAATATTGAGTTGAGTTCTCTGTGTTATACATTGGGTCCTGTTGTTCAATTAAAAAAAAAGACACATGCACACAAAAACAAAGTGTGATCCATCCAGTTGTGAGTACTTAGTAGGATAAATACCCCTGTCCCCCAGTGGCTTTGGTATCTGTATAAAACTTTCTCCTTCCAAGACCAGCATTTACATTAGCGTGGAAGCCCCAACCTTTTTTGATTCCTCTGGTTCTTCTCCTCTTCCTTCCACTATTTCTTTCTACTCTGGCAGCCAGTAGCATAGCTCAAGGACATTTCCACTCTCGCCGTAACTTTTATACTAATAGCCTAGCAAGCTGATCTCCTGCCCATCACCTAGCTATTCGTCCCTCCGTGTCAGCTTCCTACCGTTGTATTGTAGCACCCACTTTCACAAGCGCTCGGGGTTCACCACTGGAACAAGAGTGAAGCCCAAACTCCCTAACCTGCCTTCGGAGGCTCCCCATGAACTTCCCTAACAACCATGCTCCCATGTGTGCAGTTTGTGCTGGCTATTTTATTTTCTATCTGTGAAGGCATAATCAAAACCTTGCTCATGTCATTCATCCCCACAAGCAATTTCTAGGCAGTGCAATATGTAGGCAGTGATGTGGAATAGTTGGAATTAATTATCCTGAAAGAACTTGATGAAGTCTACCTCCAAATGGCATCTTTTCAAGACAGGACAAGGAAAATTGGACAAAAAAGCTTGTGAAATCACTAACAGTTTATTATTCAGAAGCTGTGACATTGCTCTTAGCAGTAACTCTGCATGTGTGTATTACTGGGTTCTGCGTTCATTGTGAAGCTCTTCAAACTTCCCAAACTGGGTAATGTTGCCCCGGCATGGCTGCCTATGAGGGCAGAGAGCCCTCTACCTCACCAGGAACACAAAACTGGCTCTTGTTAGGGAAGGTAACTTGAGACTCAATGTGTCACATTCTCCAGATGTGCAAAGGGGTAAAAGGATGGGATTTTGTGCTCAAAGACTTCCGACACTTCCTGAAGAATATGGAACCACTTGTCCACGTTTGCCCTGAATTCTTTAGCTCTGCTTTGGGTTGGTCATAAAATTCATTCAGGTTTTTCTGTAACATCTTGCAAAAAAAAAAAAAAACCCAAACAAACTTTTTGGCCAACCCAATACTTCAAATACGAACAAAGCTAATGGATGTGATGGAATTCCAGTTGAGCTATTTCAAATCCTAAAAAATGATGTTGTGAAAGTGCTGCATTCAATATGCCAGCAAATTTGGAAAACTCAGTAGTGACCACAGTACTGGAAAAGGTCAGTTTTCATTCCAATCCCAAAGAAAGGCAATGCCAAAGAATGCTTAAACTACCACACAATTGCAGTTATCTCACATGCTAGCAAAGTAATGCTCAAAATTCTCCAAGTGAGGTTTCAACAGTATGTGAACCAAGAACGTCCAGATGTTCAAGCTGGATTTAGAAAAGGCAGAGAAACCAGAGATCAAATTGCCAGCCTTCACTGGATCATAGAAAAAGCAAGAGAGTTCCAGAAAAACATCTATTTCTGCTTTATTGACTATGCCAAAACCTTTGACTGTGTGGCTTACAACAAACTGTGGAAAGTTCTTAAAGATATGGGAATATCAGACCACCTTACCTTCCTCCTGAGAAATCTGTATGCAGGTCAAGAAGCAACAGTTAGAACCAGGCATGGAACAACAGACTGGTTCCAAATTGGGAAAGGAGTACATCAAGGCTGTATATTGTCACTCTGCTTATTAAACTTATATGTGGAGTACATCATGCGAAATGCCAGGCTGGATGAAACACAAGCTGGAATCAAGATTGCTGGGAGAAATATCAATAACCTCAGATAAGCAGATGACACCACCCTTATAGCAGAAAGTGAAGAAAAACTAAAGAGCCTCTTGATGAAAGTAAAAGAGGAGAGTGAAAAAGTTGGCTTAAAGCTCAGTATTCAAAAAATTAAGATCATGGCATCCAGTCCCATCACTTCATGGTGAATAGATGGGGAAACAATAGAAACAATGACAGACCTTATTTTCTTGGACTCCAAAATCACTGCAGATGGTGATTGCAGCCATGAAATTAAAAGACGCTTGCTCCTTGGAAGAAAAGCTATGACCAAACTAGACATCATATTAAAAAGCAGACATTACTTTGCCAACAAAGGTCTATCTAGTCAAAGCTATGGTTTTTCCAGTAGCCGTGTACGGATGTGAGAGTTGGACTATAAAGAAAACTGAGCCCCAAAGAATTGATGCTTTTGAACCGTGGTGTTGGAGAAGACTCCTTGGACTGCAAGGAGATTCAACCAGTCAACTAAAGGAAATCAGTCCTGAATATTCATTGGAAGGACTGATGCTGAAGCTGAAACTCCAATACTTTTGGTACCTGATGTGAAGAGCTGATTGATTGGAAAAGATCCTAATGCTGAGAAAGATTAAAGGCAGGAGGAGAAGGGGACGACAGAGGATGAGATGGTTGGATGGCATCACCGGCTCAATGGACATAAGTTTGAGCAAGCTCTGGGAGTTGGTGATGGACAGGGAAGCCTGGCGTGCTGCAGTTCTTGGGGTCGCAAAGAGTCAGACACAACTGAGCAACCGAATTGATACTTCAAATACAGTTTTTCTCATTTTGAATATATTAGGTAGAATTGTATGAAATTGCTGATGTTTAGCCTACCAAGAGAGAAAAGCATTTTAAATGGTTTAAGCTGATTTATATGAGAGTCATCTTAAATATTTTCTAGCTCAAAATCGGGGCATACAAATATAAAATTTTTTCATTTGTACTTATCCCTTTATCTTTCTAAGTGATTAGAGTTCCTAAATTTTTTTTAAGTTGTTGTTTTTTATCATTATGGAAGAATATTAAAATAGTGTTTCTTGAAACACATTCTATAGTTCAAACTTTTTCTGTATTAGTCTAGCTTTGTGAAGTATTTTCATATATACTTGGTATTTGACTTCATGTGATAGTGATACAATCTTTTAACATAGAGAAGATAAGCACAATACTTTTAAAATAAAAAATATTTCCTAGTCTACTTGATTTTCTTGAAATTGTAGACCCTATGTGATAATGAACTGCTGTCTCTGCCTTTCAGGTACTACGCCGTAATGGTGACCATGTTCTTCACCGTCAGCGTGGTGAACAACTATGCCCTGAATCTTAACATCGCCATGCCCCTGCACATGATATTTAGATCTGTAAGTCTGCAGACTCACATGCATATGTTTCTCTGGAAAATGAAGATAAGCAGGTCCATTAAATTCAAAGTTCCTATAGGAAGTAAAGTCTAGGGTGTAAGACTAGGTCTCATGGATGAATGAAAAGAGGCTGAATTTCATCTGAGATGGAAGGCACAAAGATAGAAATGTGAAGGTGGATGGTTTACTTTTCATTTATCAGAGGCTTATAGGCAGTTAATAAAAGCAAAGTTAAAATTTCCCCAGATAACAGATCTTGCCTTTAATTTTATGGTTGGTTTTATATTCAGTCTTGCTAAGAATGTTATTTAACTTTTTTCTCATAACTTTTTGTTTCTTCTGTAAAATTATATTTACTTCTAGTACGTGGTATAGATTACTTCTTTTTTCTGCTGTTTTTTGAAAGCAGAGACTTGAGATAATTAGCTAAAGGGAAGTTCTTGAGGAAGGTAGGGTTTCCTCCCGACGCAGCAGGGGTTTTTGTCTTTGCCTCAGGCATGGTGGGAGAGTTTCATTTAGTCTGTGTATAAATAAGGACAGAGTGTTTTCCTGAGAACAGGAGAGAAACTCAAAGGGGAATGTAGTTAGGCTTGTAGAGGAATGCAAAATGGGTGAAAATTGGAATAGTAACTTTTTTGTGTGGCCTGAGATTTTTGTGAGATGAAATGTGAGATTCCCTAAAGGAACTTTCCAGAACTGATTATAATAACTAAGATGACCTTCAGAGCATTGTGCACAGAATAGACTCAATAAACACTTGCTGACTGACTGATGCCTTTCGAGAGAAGAGAGAGGTCCCTGCCCAACTTCATTCAGTCGAACAGCAGCTGAGGAGAAGCTTATTAAAGGCTCCTGTGAATTATATGGGCTTCCTAGGTGGCTCAGTAGGAAAGAATCCTCCTGTCAAGCAGGAGACCTGGGTTCAATCCCTGGGTGGGGAAGATACCCTCTAGGAGAATGGCAACCCACTCCAGTATTCTTGCCTGGAGGATTCCATAGACAAAGGAGCCTGATGGGTTACAGTCCATGGGGTCGCAAAAGAGTCCGACTTGACTTAGCAACTAAACAACAAACGACAACAATAATTAGAAAATCTGCCAAAAATAAGTCTGAAATATTCCTGCTAGCCCTGGCTTCAACTATGACCATATTGGGAATTAATCATTTTTATTCTTAATGTCATCTTTAAGAGGTGTTATTGTTTTCTATGATAGATTTTTATAGTTTGTCTTTTTTGCTGTCCTAAGAACAGGTGATTCTCACTAGTTATTAATCCTAACCTCCATCTTTGTAGTTGTTTTTCCCTCTTGTCTATGTTCATATTTGTCTTGAATTACATTATTTTCTTTCCTTCATGCACTAAAACTGTTGTCTCTTTTTACAGGGTTCTCTAATTGCCAACATGATTCTAGGAATTATCATTTTGAAAAAAAGGTAAGCAGTGCTCTTTTATTTTGTATATAGGAAGGGTCACCTCAGCCCCAGCCACAGTTTTGTCTGGATTCCTTCTCAGAGTGGTGATAAGTTTGCTCTTGGCCATCTGCCTTGGTTCTTGGTTCTGTCTGTGACAGTGAGGCCCATTCCTGAGGCAGTGGATCAGGGAAGAGGCCCCACCTGTATCTTTGGAGCAGCATTTTCTCTGTGTAGAATTAATAGACTCTTGTCATTAAATCTTGAGTACCATACTAACGTGTGAAGCCAGGCTTCCCTGGTGGCTCAGTGGTAAAGAAATCTGTCTGCCAATGCAAAAGTCCCAGGTTCGATCCCTGGGTTGGGAAGATCCCCTGGAGAAGGGAAGGGCAACTCACTCTAGGCTTCTTGTCTGGGAAATTCCATGGACAGAGGAGCCTGGCAAGCTATAGTCCACAGAAAGTCAGACACAACTTCGCAACTACATAAAAACAATAACTTATGAAGCGAATTGATCTAGAACTTCACTGTCCCATGTGGTTATCACTGGCTACATGTGACTATTTACATTTAAATTTAAATATTAAAAAGTAAATAAAATTAAATATATAGTTTCTCCATCTCTCTAGTCACATTTTCATTTTAAATGTTCAGTAGCCATGTGTGACTCGTGGTGACCATATTGGAGAGCCCAGGTGAGGAACATTTCCAGATTTACCAAAGTTCTGTGGGACAGTGCTCTCCTAGGAAGCATACAACATAGCACACTAAGGAATAATCATACGTATTACAAAGAAGATTCCTAACAAAGGCCCAAGTGGCCAAGAAGAGGCAAGGAAAAGTTTTAGGACTGGTCTTTGTGACTGTCACGAGCAGCTCTCTCTGGTTACAGTTGGGAAGTATCAGAAGTACATGAGGGACTTTCCTGGGGATCCAGTGTTAAGACTTCACCATCTAATTTGGGCAATGTGGGTTCCATCCCTGGTTGAGCTAAGATTCCACATAACCCCAAAAGCAAAACACAGAAGCAATATTGTAACAAATGCAATAAACACTTTAAAAATGGTCTACATCAAAAAACAATCTTAAAAAAAAAAAGTAGCAGTACCTCGGATGCTGTTTCCAGGGATTTGTGTCTCACCTTCATTCAGAGCCTCACCCCTCACACCGAAGGAGGAGGGGCGCAAGGGGCAGAGACAGCACATTTCTAAGGCTGGAATATTTCTTAGGGAAAGTTCCTTCTCACTGTTAGGACCGAAAATATGAGTTGGTACCAGCTTTTCAATGTAGTCCATACCCAACCCCAGTATTGGAACTCTGTGCCAGCTTGGAAAGTAGCTGTCAATTCAGCATGGGAACCTAGGGTTTTTTAAGTAAAAAGGACTGGGTCATAAAAAAGATAATTGTCCTGTCCTGCAGGCTCCTGGTGATGAGCTCTTTATCTCCTGAGGCTCATATATTCCCCAGATGAGAGCACCCTTGTAGTTGATTGCTTTTCTAGGCTCTTCTGTTCAAGCATACAGAGATAACGCTCAGGCTCATTACCTTTGAAGTGACCCCTGTGCTTCTTGGTAGTGTAAAATTCACTTTGGGACAGACTTGTGGTCTTTATAACCTTTGATTTTGGTGCATAGCAGGGATACAGAAGAACTTACTATAAAAGGAATATATTAGTATTCAGACATACCCCAACTGTCAGGGGACTTTATCAAACATCTAATTTTTCCTTAAGAATCTGTTCTGAGTCTGTCACCTTGAATCTCTCTCTCGCTCTTTTTGACTGTCTCCAGTGGGTCTTACCCAGAGAGCAGACATTTCTCTAAAGCTAACTATCTATATCATGGATTAGTCATGTATCATCTCCTTTTGTTTATCTTCAGTATTACCCCTTCAAGTTTATAGTGTTTTCCCCATTCCAGGATTTGAAGACCAAACCTCTATTCACCTTAACTGTGTTCTTCATGATTGTTCAGACCTGAATTTTAGACCTCTCTCTGTGATCATTGCAGACTGAAGAGTTCCTATCTGTTTATACATCTGCTGCAGCAATGCCTGTCTCCTTGCCCACCCCTCTTCTCTAGAGTAGTGCTTTTGGCTCCTTGCCCCTCCCCGTAGCCAGTTCTGTTGGCCTTTTTCTGACACGCTGTGACCAGAACTATACAAAATATTTGAGTAGCAAACTTCAGATGTAAGGTTTTAACGTCTTTTCATTTTCGCCTGAGGCTTTTTGCTTCATCACCAAGAGCCTGAGAGGGATGTTAATTGATACTATTTTAGTATTAGTATTAGTAATATTTAATTACTAGTATTTTACTAGTAATTAACTACTAATATTTAATTACTAGTATTTAATTAGTATTTAGTATTCTAATACTAAATTAGTATTTAGTATTAGTAATAGTATTAACTAAAATACTATTTAGTGTTTTAGTTAATGTGAAATGCCACCTTTATTCCTTCTAATAGTCCTATTGGTTTAGTATTACTCGCTTTATCCAACTAAGCCAACATTTAAAAACAATGTTTAAGTCATTCAGAGACATTAAGACAGCCCCCTCCCCTGAAAAGGGACAGTTGAATTCTTTTCCGAGTGTGGAATCCTGCTGCTTGTCCTGGCAGTCCTTCCATCCTGTCCTTCCTCTGCATGCTGTGTCTCTTCACACTATGTTTGGGCCCTAGAAACCAGGAAAAGCAACAGGAATTCCATATTAAGATCTGTCAGGCTTTCATTTAGACACAAGAGCAGGATGGGTTGTTGTGCCTGATCTGCCTTTTTTTGTTTTCTGATGAAACAGTCTACTGGTGTACCAAGTCTTGAACACTACCAGAAAGGGTGTGGTCTAGAAACAAGTCAGTATTCTGACTCTTTCACGCACGGACGTAGGTGGACTCTGCTGAGAAGTGATCCTCTTGATCATGTCTTGGTGATCTGTACTTTCGTGAACCATCCTACTGTCAGCATCATGTGGAAATTCATATGTGTGCTCTTTTTATTTTTGCAGATACAGTATCTTCAAATATACCTCCATTGCCCTGGTGTCTGTGGGGATATTTGTTTGCACTTTCATGTCAGCAAAGCAGGTGGTAAGAGTCTGTTCACAAACGATTTCTATAGTCACTACTCACCAGGGGTGCCCAGGTACTTATTAATGATACAATAAATGTAAGTGCTCATGTCATACAAGAATTTATGTCTTCGAAAGAGAATTACAGAGGGAAATGGGTAACATAAATATTTTCCTTGTATCAAGGCCCCTTGCCTGTAGTTCTGGTCTCTATACCTTGTATGTTTTCTTATTTCCTAGACTTCTCAGTCCAGCTCAACTGAGAATGATGGATTCCAGGCGTTTGCATGGTGGTTACTAGGCAAGTACAGTAATTACAGTACTTGCTGCAGAAGCTAATTGCCTCTGCAGTTCTGTTTTCAGAGTTTTCTCCTAAGGGATATGTTTCTTGGCAAGAAGCTTCAGCTGAATAAATTATGCCATGGAAGAGAGAGGCACCTGGGACTATGTATCTCTGAACCTTAGGGTTGAAGAAACTAAAATATGTGTTCATGGTAGCCTGTTCTACAACATGGATGTTTTTCCTGGTTGCCACTAGTATAGAAAGAAAAGTTTGTGTCTAGTTGCCCATCATACTCTCTGGGAACAAGGGGAGTGTCATCCATTTCTTTATGATCTGTCTGCTGAGCAGAAGCTTCTACAAAAGGAGGGTACATTACAGCAGTTGGCTCTTTAAATTTCCGTAGGACCCATTTCTAAATCTTAGATTTCTTTTCTTCATAAGCTCTTCCATATGGCAATGTTCCCAAACCTAACTGGTCATCAGAATCTCCTGGGTAATTTTTAAAAATACAGATATCTCTTTGTTGAATTAATTAAACAACTCCTATAGAGCTTTGCCCTCGCTATATCCTATACAGAGGGCAAAGTCAGTGATAGCAATAAGAAATGGAGACTGACCAAACGGGAAAAAAGTAGCAGTGAAAGAACTGGATTCTCCTTGCTTCTTGACTTTGCAACTTTATCCCTTTAGGTCACTATTCTTAACAGAAAGAGCTTTATGAGCTATTAGGAAGATACTTCCTCCAATAAGAATAAAAGACTTTAACACACAATTCATGGGCATAGAATTAATATTCAATAAACTTAGGTTCAGTCTCACTGGTTACTAAACAAAGAAATGCAAACTGAAACCAAAATGTAGTATCTTTTTGTTTTGGTCTATTGGCTAGATATTGATTATTCTCATTGCTGCTAAGGGTGCAGTAAGGTAGCCCTATTCATATAAACTGTTTATGGCAAATTGACACAGACTCTCTGGGGAAAAAAATTACGTATTGAGCTTTTTAAATGTCTACAACCTTTGTCTCAGTAATCCCCCTTATAAGAGTTTTTCCTAAGGGAATAGTCAACATTCTGTTTAAAGATTTATGTACTAGGATGTATGTTGATTTTAATGATGAAATAATTAGAAGTAATCTAACCATTCTCCTCTTGTTAGACATTTAAGTATGATACAGTCCGCATGATAGAATAATATGCCACTATTAAATCATACTTTTGAAAACATTTTTAATGGAATGACTTGAAGGAAAATACAGGAAAAAGATCATGAAGAAAAAGATATGAAATTACATACTAATTATGATCCCATTTCAGCATAAAGTATCTATTGGGTTGGCCAAAAATCTCCTTTGGGCTTTCTGTAAGATCTTAGAAAATCCCAAATGAACTTTTTATCCAACCCAATTTCTAAGCAACATATACAGAGAAAGACAGCAAACTATTTAGGACTGGATGGTAATATGGTGGTTGATTTTTATTTCTTTTTAAATTTTGTACATGGTCCGTGTTTAGTGTGTAATATTTGTAGAACTGAATAAATGTTTTTTAAGAAAAGAATAAATGTTTTTTGAGAAGTTAGCCAGTACAGGCATTCTGTAACTCCATGTTTGCTTTTCAGGCATTGGGGCACTGACTTTCGCTCTTCTGATGTCTGCAAGGATGGGTATTTTCCAAGAGACTCTGTACAAACAATTTGGGAAACACTCCAAGGAGGCTTTGTTTTATAATGTAAGCAATTTCTTGAACCTGGGAGAAAGGAAAATTACTGAGTTGTTTTTGTAGTATATTAGTTCAAGTATGGTATACCATCTTTCTGATGTAGTTGAAGGATCAATTTATTATCCAGTAAACTGCTTTGGGGCCCACCAACTTTGGCACTTTTAATAGCCTGCCGTAGTTCTCTACAGGAAATGATTGCTATTAGTCAGTGTGAACAGAACATGTCTGCCAACCAGGAACAACCATTCCCTTCTCCAGAAGACAAGGAACCCAATGTTCCTAAAGATGAAATCAAGTTAAAACCAATATGGAAACCTGGAAAGGGAACAGAAGTTTCAAAAGTCAAGGAAAATATGTGCAGGCAGGAATTGGGGAGAACTGGGGAGGATGGGGTTTGAAGAGTAAGCTGCTCAGACAGGCTTTATTCCTTTGATAGAGAACTTAATTAGCTAATTATATGCCCTTTCGCTTCTTATTTGAAATTGCTGATCTAGAGCCACCTTCTCTAGCTTTCTTTCTCCCAAGTCTTTCCTGTTGAGATAATGCCCAGCTCCTCAAGGTCTCAGGGATAGTGTTGCCTCCAGGTTCAGCAACCTCAGGAAGTCCTTCCCTGTAAACCTTTTGAACTGAAATTGCAGACAAGCAATTTGAGATATTTAATTGTAGCTACAGTATGTGGCTGGGAGTTTAAAAAATAAAGGAGCATTCTGGTTGGTTCCCATGTTTCTTTTAGCACAGTACCTGGCACATAGTTAACTGCTTGGTAAATGTTTACTGTGATTCCTTAGTAAATGTTTACTGTGGTGGTGGTGGTGGGTGGGTGGTTGTCAGGCACGTTAATCTTTGCTTACCTATTGTTTCCACTTTCTCTTCAATCTCTCTCTCTTCATTTCTTTTCCCCTGACTTCATATTGTCCTCTAGTCTCTCTCCCATTAGTTTCATGAACTCCCTAAAATCTGCCTTCACGTTCCATATAATTTTTAAATCTGTTATATTGTTTAACCATTCTCAAAAATAGTAAGATATAGGCAGATCCTTTGGGCAGAATGACTGTGTTTCAATTTCCCCTTCCCTTTTGTTGAGGAAAGGATGCGGGCTCTATTGTTTTGTAATGACCATCAGCTTCTATGGGGCAAGAACTGTAATTTGCAGGTTGATATCACGCCATACAGTGTCAGGACTTATTAAAAGTATACAGGGCTTAATAAAAGCACTGGGTATGTGCTCAGTCACTTAAGTTGTGTCTGACTCTGTGACCCTATGGACTATAGCCTACCAGGCTCCTCAGTCCATGGATTCTGCAGGCAAGAATACTGGAGTAGGTTACCATTCTCTTCTCCAATGTATCTTCCCAACCTAGGGATTGAACCTGTGTCTTACATCTCCTGCATTGACAGGCAGGTTCTTTATCACTGGGGCCACCTGGGAAGCTATTAAAAGCACTGGATACTTTTAACAAGTCTGACTTGTTTTTCTTGACATCTCTTGTTACACAACTTGTAAAACTTCCAATCATTGTAAAAGATACACTCTATTATACATCTGTAATGTTTTTGCATTTAAATTTACATGAAATGTTTCTTCCCCTAGCATGCCCTTCCACTTCCTGGTTTCATCTTCTTGGCTTCTGACATTTATGACCATGCAGTTCTGTTCAATAATTCTGGTGAGTTTGGGGTTATCCAGTAGAATTACCTGACAGTTTCAGAGGCAACGTCTCAGTTTTACTCGTGACTTCACCTCCGCAGTTTTCATCATATCCAGATCACCCATCCCCATGCCACCTTCCTGAAATATAGTGCCATTAATCAGTGGTTGCAGCAACAAAAGCTTTTGCAGACACTTCTCAATTATTTGCCAATGAAGTAAGACAATATCTTCAAATTTTCTGTTTTGCTTTGGAATTTGTGTGCTATTTGCATTTGAATAGGGAGTGTATGATGATCTGAGAATGCAAACAAATAGTAATAATACTGCAGTGACTAGAGCCATGAGAAGTTGGACAGCAGTCCAGCTTCTTTCCTCCTGTTCCTCCCTCTCTGCTAGGAAAGGTACATTTGCTCACAGATACAGGCCGAGCTGCCTCCAAGCAAGGAGGAACAGAAATGACAACGGGGCAGATAGGCTGCAAGAATAAGAAAAATTAGTTCAGGTGTCTATAGTATGAGTTGGCTGTTACTTTTTACAGTGGCTGTTTAATACATTAGCTAATAATTGTTAGTTAACTTAAAAGAAATTACCAATGTTAGGTTGGCCCCAAGATTCCGTTTCCATAAGGTGTAATGAAAAATTTGAACAAACTTTTTGGTCAACCCAATATAATCTAATTATCTACTAAAAGACAGAGCATGTTATACAGACAAATGAATACACAGGGAACAAATCTTTTTAAAATTAAGGCTTTATGTTGCTCAGACCTAAAATGGTAAGTGTATTTTGTAGAATGACAGTAGGGACTCAGTAAACATTTGTTTGCTATCTGATCACATGTTGTGAAGTTGTAACTGTTCTCTGAGTCTGCAAAGTTGTTATCTCCCATTTGCCTGCAAAACAGTGTGTGATGATGGCATGTAAGAAAGTTTTTAAGCCTCTGAATTACTCAGTTGGTTCTGACTTAAAAAAAAATTGAGATATAATTGACATACAGCTGATTTTTGACGCAGTGTTTTCTAAGGTCTCTTAAGAGACTCCATATAGCAAAGGCTGTTGAAATAAATACATTATCCAGTTCCTTGAGATTGATACTGATTTAGTTACTTGAATGCTCCTTCTCGAAGTCACAGGGATGGGTATTTTTATAAAAAAAAATCTTTTAAGGTCTGCCTTCAACTTCTTTAGAACCATTCCTAAGTATACATTTTTTCGTCTCAGATGAAGTTGTTATTTGCAAGCAAACTGAACATCCGTCTAAATACTGTACATCATATGGATTGTCTTTCCCCAGCAAGCTGATACAGTGAATCTCTCGTTATTATACAGTAATAACATTTGTTGACTTTCTTTTCATTTCAGTACTTGCTAAGTATTTCAAAGACAATATAACACTAAATTATTGGGATTTTCCACTAGTCCAGACATAGAATTTTAGAAATTATTTATATACATTTTTTTTTTGCAAAAAAAATTAATGTTCATTTACTAACCATATTTCAGCATCACTTTGTTAGAGTTTACTCAGTTATGCTGTATAATTCAAGTGAAAGTTTTAGTGGCTCAGTCATGTCTGACTCTTTGTGACCCCATGGACAGGCTCCTCTGTCCATGGAATTCTCCAGGCAAGAGTACTGGAATGGGTAGCCTTTCCTTTCTCCAGAGGATCTTTCCTGACCCAGGGATTGAATCCAAGTCTCCCACATTGCAGGTAGATTCTTTACTGTCTGAGCTACCAGAGAAGCCCGTATAATTCAAGCCTCCCAAACAATTTAGCAATATAAAAAGACTGATCCTTCAAGGATTACTATGTCCTTATTCTCTTTGATCTTGAATATTTTATTTCCTCCCATATATTTACTGTGCAAGCATAATTATATAAAACTAAACATAAGAATGTATTTCAAGGAAGGAAAGTTACAGTTCTATTGCCCTACACATGAGCTAATTTCATTTTACCAGTTTCCATCCTGACACTATTTACATATATTCTCACACAGTCATAATCCTTGTGTAAATATAATTTTACACTTTCTTTTTCACTTTCGTTCTGCATTCTTATGTGACTATATATAATCTTTGTGATTTTTGTTTCAAATCAAGTGTATAATGTCACATCCAGTTAAAGTACCTTTGCTTACATAGTCCTTTGCTCTTATCACCGGGCGTCGTGACTGATTTTGTTTTTCCTGTATTATAAACACCACCACAGTGTATGTTGGACTTGCTTCTTCTTTTGAATTAACTAGGACTAATCCACACCTTTCACTTTCATGCATTGGAGAAGGAAATGGCAACCCACTCCAGTGTTCTTGCCTGGAGAATCCCAGCGACGGGGAAGCCTGGTGGGCTGCCGTCTGTGGGGTCGCAGAGAGTCAGAGACGACTGAGTGGCTGAACTGAACTGACTGAATTCCTGAGAATAAGAACCAATGCCTTTATGACCACTTAATACCTATTGTGAAATTTATTTTGAAAACACCAATTTATACTACCACCCACTGAACGGCTGCTAGTTCTACTACCACCTTGCCAGATCAGGATATTATTTATTATAAGTGTTTAATTGCTAAGTTAATAGATATAGAATGATACAGCCTTGTAATAATTTAGAATTCTTTGATTACTGGTAGGATTGAACATATTTCCAAATGGCATTTATTTAGGGCTTGCCTCTCAAGACAAGTATCTTAAGACAAGTATACTTAAGACTGTATCATTTTGAACTTCTCTGTGTTGCAGAATCTTTCTCTGTAAAGTGGGGTCCTAGTCAGGTGAAAGGTAAAGAGTTTAAAGTTAAAATATTATTTGTTTTAAGAAACCAGTGTAATGACTCTTGAGGACAATGTAGCCTGGAATCACAAGTAAAGTATATGACCAAGTCTATTTGCAAGAGAAAAAATGTTGCTATCTCTACTATGTTCATCTGTGTTACTGTGTTCAAAGGGATGAAAACATAAGCTGTCCAAAGTGATACCATTGTCTCTCAATCTCTGCAGAATTGTATCAGGTTCCAGTCATTGGTGTGACAGTGCCCATCATGTGGTTCTACCTCCTCATGAATGTCATCACTCAGTATCCTTTGCACTCGTCTGCCATGTGCTGTTTTGCCACAGAAATGTTTTTTCTTCTAACAGTGCAGTGACATGCATTTTGCTTTTGCTCTGATCTATTCTGCAGTAAGGAGGAGACAGGCCCATCTAGTGAACTCCTTTCTTGCAGGGAGAGGGAGGCAAAGAGATGGTGGTGGTGTGGAGGGTCAGTAAGTCATAAGACACCAGAAAGGAAAACCTTTGGGTGGAGGGACAGAAGTCAGTGGGTAACTAAGAATTAGTATGTGACAGAAATACTTTATGATTTCTACATGGAGTTTTCCAGTATCCTAGGATATTTCACAAGCTGCCACAAAATTCTGCAAGAAATTTCAAATTAAATAAGACCTAATTTTTAAAATGGCTCGTTTGAACCACCTTGAATGTGAAAGTTGCTCAGTCATGTCTGACTCTTTGTGACCCCGTGGACTATACAGTCCATGGAATTCTCCAGGCCAGAATCCTGGAGTGGGTAGCCTTTCCCTTCTCTAGGGGATCTTCCCAACCCAGGGCTCCCACATTGCAGGAGGATTCTTTACCAGCTGAGCCACAAGGAAAGCCCTTGAACCACCTTAGGCCCATTAGAAAAACCCTTGAGCCTTTGAAACAATGGAACAGATTGTGGTTGACCTCATTCCTCGAAGGCACCTCATATGCTTGCCCTACAGAGTTCCTTTTTGGAGATGTGATCACCTTTACTGACAGTGTTACCTTCTGTCATTACTTGGGAGGTGACCTTCACTGTAAACTATGGGAAGAATCCAAGAAAAATCCCAAATGAGTATCATAGGAAGTTTTCAAGCAGCTTCAAGTTAGGATCCACAGATCGTGTGACAGGACAGGAATTCTGCAGGGTGTTCTCCTAAGGAGGAGCCTCAGGGCAGCCGTGGCCGACGCCCTGTTTTCTGGTCCCTGGGATGTGAACGTTGAAGCCATGCACCTGGCCAGAAGGTTCTCCCGCTAATCTCTGGGCTGTTGACAGAAAACCACCTTAACCCCGCCCCTCCAGGTACGTGTGCATCCGGGGCGTCTTCATCCTCACCACAGAATGCGCCTCCCTCACTGTCACCCTCGTCGTGACACTGCGCAAGTTCGTCAGCCTCATCTTCTCCATCTTGTACTTCCAGAACCCTTTCACCCTGTGGCACTGGCTGGGCACCTTGTTTGTCTTCACTGGGACCCTCTTGTACACAGAGGTGTGGAACAACCTGGGGGCCGCCAAAGGCCAGCCTCAGAAGGAGAAGAAGAACTGAGGCCGGCCTGCAGTAGAGACACCAGAGGCTAATGGGCCGGGGCCTGGCCACCATTTCACCTTGGTTAATGCTGAATTACCCGCCGTGTACCAAGGAATCCTCAGAGGGAGGGACTTCTCATTTCTCATGGCTCTGCAGACGCACATTTGTGGACCCTGAGTAGATGCCCCTCTACCCTGAAGTAGAAAAGAGAACGGTTCTCCGCTATCGGGTAGCCCTGTTCATTTGTTATTTCTGTTTTGTTTACCAAAATATTCAGCACTGTACTGGCTTACTGCATTCTGAGTCCCCAGAGCTACTCGTTTTATATCCGTGGTCTCAGACAAGATTCTCCCTGCTCTGATGATTCTCTTCTGTAACAGCCATCCTCCTCCGGGGGCCTCGTCCCCTTGCTCCGTCACCCTGCCACGCTCAGCTGCACTTTTAAGTCTGACGCTCCAGGCACCCTCACCAGGAACAACTGAATGGCCGAGAGAACTGAGGCTCTGGGGATGGTGGGGCTGGGCTTTATCCCAAGAGTCGGGCAAGAAGCAGGTGCCCCTGTGTGCCCTGTGACATGGGCAAGACTGGTGCGAATCCTTTTCCACGTTTTTCCTTTTTTCCCCCCTCTGTGCAACAGTCATGTGCTTTCATACCTTTTGCTTTCTGTACGTAGAACAAACTGCAGCAGTTCTCTATGGCACAGTGTTAAAAGTTGTGTGAATTGGGAAAAGAGAGACTTTTGCTCTCTGTCTTCACTCAGTTGTCTGAGTCATTTAGCCTCAAGGTTAGATGGTGATGCCAGGAGGACCCAGGAGAAACTGGCCAAGAGGGCACTCGGAGAGCCACGGGCTCTCCCGCCTCTACACCCAGCCAGGCACTCAGGGCGGGTTCCATGTGGGAGAGAGGGTAAGTCTTTGAAACGCTCCTTAATCAGAGAGGTTCATCTCTGCCTGGCAACTGTTTTCAGAGTTACGACCAGTCAGGCTAATGGGTAAACCAATATATTCAGTACATGTGGGTGTGGTGTATCAGGCCAAACCACAACTGAAATAGAAGGTTTTTCTTTTTTTAAACAAGGCATCTTAATGTTCTTGCTGGGTTTGGGGGTGAGTGTGTTTTTTTATATGTAGAAACCTGCCTCCCACCCTTTTGCTAATCATTTCAAAGGTTTGGTTTTCCTCCCATGGGATAATTTTGAGAAAGAAGAACAGCGTTAGGGTGGCGTGTGTAGGGGTGTGTATGCTCTTGTATAGTTTGTGATCACTTGCGTGGAGAGGAGAACATGAAAGTCAGTGTTTTATTTCCTCTTTCTTAACAGCCCCGACCTGCATCTCATCAGATATGTGATTTGGGGTCCATCAGACTTAGCAGCCTCTCTCTTTTTGCACATAGAGGCCTCTCCTTCTGTGCTGGGCACAGATTGTGTTCTTAAATCGAGAGAGGTGGCTCTCCAGATCTGCTGGGCTCACCCAGGGTACGATGTGTTTATTCCACTATCAGGAGCTGTTCTCTGATGGGGTCTGAGATGAGTGTCCTAGAAACCCTGGGTCACTTTGGGGGAGGTCAGTTAAGCTGCCTCGGGTTTTTTGTGACATACGGTATGGATACTGTTTCTCCACCTGAGTCCCAGGGTTTTCAGATCCATTTGTTGTTCTGGACATTGACAGCTGTGCTGTGCCAGTGAGAGTCTATACTAAAAGATGCTGAATTAAGTGAATTTGTTCATGGACTCAAAAGGTATTTAATTTCTTTGAACTGTGTAGAGTTTCTCAGACTGGTGGTGCTATAAATACCATGTGTTAAATAGCCTCTTAAGAACAAAAGCTACTTTTCTTACTGTATAATAAAAGAACCTGGCCCCAGGGGCTGTTTGATTGCTACATGTCTGGAGTCTTGACAGGATAACTATACAGCTTTACATGAAATTGTATCACTTTTTTTTTTTTAATGTGGCTAGGAAATATTACAATTTTTAGTAATTGAAACACTGTTGATGTACACAGACAGCATTTAACTGGGTTCCTGAGGTTTTAGGTTCTGGCTTACGGAGTATGTGTCTAAACACTTCTGCTGGTCTTATTCATAGGCGGATGGGTATGGATAGCTTAGGGCACGCATACAATGAAATGAGTGCATGTAAGAACACAATGCCCTGGGAATTGGTTTTTCTTTCGAGTAGTTGCATATAAGGAAATATAGCTAACAGATCCTAATTAATACTTTTTAAAAACAGTTTATTCCCCTTGGTTAACTGTTTTTTCAATCCTGGTTGAATTTTATTTCAATCCCTGTTAAAAGGGCAAATAAACCATTTTATAGAGGATCCACCTCATCTGTAACTGGAGAAGAAATGTCTGTTAAATGCCTCTCCTCTATCTCTGGATCAAGACTGTGCAATTTTGTGCCCCAGAGAGAGAGGATATGGTTTGTTTACAAGAGAGATTGATCTTTAAGACATCCAAAACTCTACCCTTAGAGCAAAGATCAAATAGCAAATGACTAGCCAGAAAACACAAGTTTTGTGTGTGTAAATGTACCTGTGAACTCACTTCATAGCTTGACCAGGGTCATAAATTAGGCAAAAGGAGAAAACTGGGGATATTTGAGTTATTTCATTTAATGTCTGCATATCCTTTACCACAGTTCCATTGTTGTATTATAAATGCTTTTTCATTTTTTATTAGGAATTTATTTTTGATCTTTTATTTTCTTTTTCATCCAGCTGAAACCATTAATCCATTTAATAAGTTTCTGTCAAGTTCTGAAGTATTTGGACACAATCTGGATAGTCTTTCCCTCTGCACAGTTACCCAAAATGAATCCGGTCCCTGAAATTTGGTCATTGCATCCAGTGAAGAAAAACACAGAAGCTGAGTTGATCTCTGCCAACCTCACCAAACCCCTTCCATTCTTCTGGGAAGATTACCTGGTGTTTTTTAAGGATTATTATAGCTTGTGTCATTCCCTGAGCACCTTTCCTCCCTTCTGCATATTTTTTTTTCACATCCTAACCCCTACCTCCAATTTCTTCAGCAGCTTCTGGTTACTCGCAGAGTTTTCTACTGAGCGACACCTATAATCTTGTATCTATTTATGCCTCTATTCTTTGGGGCCTCTAGGTGTCTTTTGTGGATTTTTATAGGATATACATATCTGTGTAGCATGTATTTTGTTATACATTGTTTTAAGCACTGATACTAGGGGTGTGTCTATATTCAGATACAAATATCGGGCAGAGCGAATGTATGTGTAGATGAGTAAGAACAAGAAGGGTTAATGTACAAATGTTTATATACTGTTACAGCTCAAAGTGGGGTGGAGAATCCTACCAATCCTACCACATTCTTGTCTATATTTGGGAAGCAGCAGTTTTCATCTTTTGCTCTTTTTACCCTACCTCTAGCTGACTTCACTCACAGTGCCAAATATCTATGGTGAGGGGAGGTGGGCCGCATTAGGTCAGGAGTAATTGTAAACCAATAAATTCGTTCTGGGCTGGGGGACACGCTTATTGGTGGGCTAGCACATAAGCCAATGTAGCAAAGATCTGAGCATCTCCATAAATGCACAGTCAGACACCCTAACATGGAGATAGGAAATCAAGATCCTACATTTGCTGTAGTTTGTTTCTCTTTGGCTAGAACTATGAGCATTTTGGTCTCAATAGCTTTATTCTGAAAAATGTGCATGGAAGTTAACCTATGAGAGTTCAGTCTTAGGGTGAAAGAACTGTCAGTATAGATAAAATCCGTTATGGATGTGTGACCTTTGGAAATGAGTATAAATAGTAAAATTAATAATAAGCATTAGCATACACGTAGTGTGTACCAGGCTGGGCTGGGAGACACTAGTTGTGTGTGCTCTTTCTAGGGCCTTCCTTACAGTCGGCACCTCAGAGAAGGGAGGGACCAGGATCTGACTTGCATCTCATGAATAAATAAATCCTCGCTAAGATCTCTTACTCCCTCAAGTTTCTGAGAAAGCTTCTAATGGTTCTTGATACCTGTTCCCACCCTTCATCAGTAGGTCAGCAAGAAAGCAAATAGGACAACATTCCTGAGATTCTAAGCCAGAAAAGGAAGGGAGGATGCACACCAGGAGTTGTGCAGATGCTGCTTTCTGCTCTCCAGTTGCCAGTGGGAGGAGGGCAGAGCATTACATATTTAGCACCTTGCATCATTTGATGCTCAACGCAAGCAGAGGCCCTCAGGGTACCATTAAAGATGCTTAAAAGTTTTTGGAGTAGGCTGCTTGGGGTGTCCCTTACATCTCCAAAGCTGGTATAGTGGGTTTGCATCAGCTGATGCCTTGAGCTCATTGTCTTTTTGTCTTCTCAGAATCACATGGAGATTTACCTACTTAAATCACTCAGCGTTCTACCAAATGCCCTCGATTTCAATCAAGTAAGGCAAGCTGCAGGGGTACCAGCCATAGGTGGGTTGGGGGGAGGAAAGCTTGGTCTCCATTTAGAAGAAATAAGACTTATACTTTTTAAAGTAAACGTTGTAATGATTCTTTGGCACACTGGATTATTTATAGCTTTTGAGATGTAAAGAAGACTCCGTGAACCAGGAGCAGCAGTAATTATTCCCCGACGTGATGAAAATGTTCTTTGTGTGTTGCTTGCAATCACAAGTCATTTCTGTGCTAGTTGCTTTCATTCCAGAGAATGGCACCATCCTCCCCCAAAAGAGGATGATTTTTAAAGTAGGATTTTGTAACAGATTATGTGGCATGGGGCTGGGGAAAGATGATGGGGATTTGATTTTTCCAGCCTCTGAGCTCTTCATTCATATTGTGATTTAAGAACAAAGATGGGGGGGGGGGGCGGTGGCTAGACAGTAGTAGAATATGTAGAACAGCTAAGACATTAGTGAGTATTCAGATTTTGAGCTGTGTAGATATCAAATGTCAGCTTCCAGCCTTCTGAGTTATTTGAGCAGAGAGTTTAGAGAAAAGGGAGATTTTGTGAATAAAATGTTTTTGCCAAACAAATTGAATGAGTCTTTTTACCATGATTTCTTAAGAAGAGCAAATTTCTGTCTTCTGAAACAACTCCTCAGACACCTGGTTTTTAATCTTGAATTGTACAATCATTGTTTCTTAATAAAAGTGATAAATATCTTGCAGGTGTTTCCAATCACCATTACCTTTCAGGTGCTTGGGTGCTGTTTCAAAAGCTCTGCAGTTTTTGCTTTGTACAGTGGTGGGACATTTTACCACAATTGTAAGCAACCTATCTTCTGCTGCCTGGCAGCTGGGTCAATCACAAACCACTTCCCCGGCTACAGGTCAGTTTCTACTTCAGAAATTTAAAGAGGCTTGGCTTACTTTGGGAGGTTTTAGAGGTTCCTGGCAGTAAGTTTCTGTAGCAAATCTCTCAAAACCTCTTTGCCTTAATAGAAGCACATTGATTTTTGTAACGTTGCAATGGCCAGCTCTCTTCTTCCATCTGTTGCTTTTAAATGAATCTTAATGTGGAAGCAACTTTCAAAGCAGTTTACTATATATTCAGTCTTTTTTTCTTTTTTATTGCAGTATAGTTGATTTACAATAATACTAGTTTCAGGTGTACAACCTAGTGACTCAAATTTTATAGACTATACTCCATTTATAGTTATTATAAAATACTGGCTATATTCCCTGTGCTGTAAAAAATATCCTTGTAGCCTATTTATTTTATATATAGAACTCTGTATCTCTTAATCCCCTATCTCTATCATGCCCCTCCCTGCTTCCTTCTCCCCACTGGTAACCACTAGTTTGTTCTATATATCTGTGAGTCTGTTACTTTTTCATTATATTCACTAGTTTTATTTTTTAGATAATATATGAAAATAATAACATTCGTCTTTCTCTGACTTTAAATTTCACTAAGCAAATTTAACCCTCCAAGTCCATCCAGGTTGTTGCAAATAACAAAATTTTGTTCTTTTCTTTGGCTGACTACTGTTCTATTGTATTTATACATACCGTTATCCATTCATCAGTTGATGGACATTTAGGTTGCTTCAAAGTCTTGGCTATTGTAAATAATGCTGCTATGAACACTGAGGTACATGTATATTAATGTTTTCATTTTCTTTGGATATATTTACCCAGGAGTGAAATTACTGGATTGTATGGTAGTTCTATCAATATCTTTAGTTTTTTGAGGAAAGAACCTCTATACTGTTTTCCACAGTGGCTGCAACAGTTTACATTTTATGTACTTTGGTATTAGTGTTATGTTTGAATTCCTCTGTTTGTTTGTGCATGTACTACAGATTTTTGGTTTGTGGTTACCATAAGGTATCTGAATCTGTAAATGTGTACGTGTACACACACATATATGTATATACACATACATATGATTAAATTGCTGACTCCTTAAACATTTTAATAACACTTCATTTTACTCTCCTCCCCTCATAATTAGTTTTTTACATTATATTGTATATCTGTTTTGCATATCCCTTAATTCCTTATTATGGATATATTTTACTACTTTTGTTTTTTAGCCTTCCTACTAGCTTCGTATATGGTTAACTTTCTACCTTTACTATATATTTTTTTGCCTTTACCAATGAGCTTTTCCCTTTCATGTTGCCTTTGCTTAGAGAAGTCCCTTCAACATGTCTATTAAACAGCTGATTTGGTGGTGCTGGACTCCTAGTTTTTGCTTATCTGTAAAACTTTTGACCTTTCCATCAAATCTGAATGAGAGCTTTGTCAGATAGAGTATTCTTGGTTGTAGGTTATTATTCCCTTTCGTCAGATATATCATACTACTCCCTTCTGGCCTACAGAGTTTTTGCTGAAAAGTCAGCTGATCGCCTTATGGGAATTCCCTTGTAGGTAACCTGTTGCTTTTCCCTTCCCACTCTTTAATATTCTCTTTAATTTTTGCCATTTTACTTATAGTGTGTCTTGATGTGGTCCTCTTGGAATTGATCTGATTTGCAACTTTACATGCTCCTTGGACCTGGATATCTTGTTTTTTAGGTTAGGAATATTTTTAGCTATTATTGCTTCAACTATGTTCTCTGCCTGTTCTCTCTCTCTTCTCCTTCTGAGATCTCTATAATGCAAATATTAGTATGCTTGATGTTTTCCCAGAGGTTTCTTAAAGTCATTTCTTTTTATTCTTTTTGCTGTTCACCTTCAGTTATTTCCACTACTCTGTCTTGCAGCTCACTGATTCATTCCTCTGTATCATTTAATCCTCTGTTTATTCCTTCTGTATTCCTAATGTATTTTTCATTTCACTTATTCTTCATCTAGTTTGTTCTGTATATTTTCTAACTTTGTTAACAACTCAAAACTTTTCACTTTACTCTCAAGATCTTTATCTTTGACTCTTACCTTAAACTCTTTCTCAGGTATATTGCTTACCTCTAATTCACTTCTTCTTCTGGGTTTTGTCTATCTTATTCCTTTATTTGGAACATGTTCTTCTGTCACCTCATTTTGCCCAACTTGCTGTTTTTATTTTACTGTATGTGGCAGGCTGGTTATGTTTCCCAACCTTGGAGAAGTGGCCTTTTGTAGGAGACTTCTTATGAGTCTGAGCAGCACACTGCTCTTTGGTCACCAGAGCTTTATGCTCTAGTGATGCCCCATCTGAGGGGTGTATGGATCCTTCTCTTAGAGTGAGCTGACTACTGTGAGAAGTCTGGTAGGCATGGCTTGATCCCACTCTGGTTTCCAGGCCCTTCCTCATGTGGAGGCTTCTGGCCACTGGCTGGCAGGGCCAGGTCATGATGCACCTGCCTGTGAAACCCCTGAGAAAGTGAAAGTCACTCAGTCGTGTCCAACTCTTTGTGACCCCATGGACTATACAGTCCATGGAATTCTCCAGGCCAGAATACTGGAGTGGGTAGCCTTTCTGTTCTCCAGAAGATTTTCCCAACCCAGGGATTGAATCAGGGTCTCCCGCATTGCGGGCAGATTCTTTACCAGCTGAGCCACAAAGGAAACCCAAGAATACTGGAATGGGTAGCCTGTCCCTTCTCCAGCAGATCTTCACGACCCAGGAATCGAAGTGGGGTCTCCCTCATTGCAGTGGATTCTTTACCAACTGAGCTATCAGGGAAGCCCTGAGACCCCTAAGAGCCCCAGGGCTAATGCTGGTATACTGGTGAGTGGATTTGGGTTCCAGGAGATCTCAGGACTGGTGCTCACCCACTGGTGTGAAGTCATGTCCTGGGGCTAGTTCCAGCCTACTGATGAACAAAGCTAGGTCCTGAAGTCTGGCTACAGGGTTTGGGGTGTCCTAGAGCTTGTGTTGGCCTGCTGGTAGGTAGGGCCATGGCCTCGCAGGTCTCACAGCTTTTGCCCCCTGTTAGCAGATGAGGCTGGTCCTGACAGTGGAGGATGTTTGCTGGTGGGTGAGGCCAGGGCCAGAGCTCAGGCAGTTCTGAATCTAGCACCTGAGCCCTGGTCTGTGGCAGTGGGTCCTGGGCCCTCTAGTGGGCAGGGCTGTGTCCCTGCCCAGGTGGTTGCTTGGCCTGGGGTATCCCAGAACTGGTGCCTACAGATTGGTAGGTGGCAGTGCGGTTAGATCCTGAGGCTCATAAGCTAGAGGGAGGATTCCAACATGGTGGTTGCCAGCACCAATGTCCACATGGTAGAAAGAACTCAGCAAAATGACTGCCACTAGGCTTTGTCCCCAGGGTGAGCTCCAGTTGCCTCCTGCTTCTCCAAGAGACTTCCAAGATCAGCAGGTATGTCTGCTCCTTTCAAATCACTGCTGCTGCTCTGGGTCCCTTCAGTTCAGTTTAGTTCAGTCGCTCAGTCATGTCCGACTCTGCGACCCCATGGACTACAGCACGCCAAGCCTCCCTGTCCATCACCAGCTCCCAGAGTTTACTCAAACTCAAGTCCATTGAGTCGGTGATGCCATCCAACCATCTCATCCTCTGTCGTCCCCTTCTCCTCCTGCCTTCAATCTTTCTCAGTATCAGGGTCTTTTCAAATGAGTCAGCTCTTCACATCAGGTGGCCAATGTATTGGAGTTTCAGCTTCAACATCAGTCCTTCCAGTGAACACTCAGGACTGATTTCCTTTAGGATGGACTGGTTGGATCTCTTTGCAGTCCAAGGGACTCTCAACAGACTTCTCCAACGTCACAGTTCAAAAGCATCAATTCTTCAGCGCTCAGCTTTCTTTATAGTCCAACTCTCACATCCATACATGACTACTGGAAAAACCATGGCTTTGACTAGATGGACCCTTGTTGACAAAGTAATGTCTCTGCTTTTTAATATGCTGTCTAGGTTGGTCATGACTTTCTTTCCACGGAGTAAGCGTCTTTTAATTTCGTGGCTGCAATCACCATCTGTAGTGATTTTGGAGCCCCCAAAAATAAAGTCAGCCACTGTTTCCCCATCTATTTGCCATGAAGCGATGGGACTGGATGCCACCATGATCTTAGTTTTCTGAATGTTGAGCTTTAAGCCAACTTTTTCACTCTCCTCTTTCACTTTCATCAAGAGGCTCTTTAGTTCTTTGCTTTCTGCCTTAAGGGTGGTGTCATCTGCATATCTGAAGTTATTGATATTTCTCCCGGCAATCTTGATTCCAGTTTGTGCTTCATCCAGCCCAGCGTCTCTCATGCTGTACTCTGCATGTAAGTGAAATAAGCAGGATGACCATATACAGCCTTGACATACTCCTTTTCCTATTTGGAACCAGTCTGTTGTTCCATGGCCAGTTCTAACAGTTGCTTCCTGACCTGCATAAAAATTTCTCAGGAGGTAGGTAAGGTGATCTGGTATTCCCATCGCCTTCAGAATTTTCCACAGTTTGTGGTGATCCACACAAATGCTTTGGCATAGTCAGTAAAGCAGAAATAGATGTTTTTCTGGAACTCTCTTGCTTTTTTGTTGATCCAGCGGATGTTGGCAATTTGATCTCTGGTTCCTCTGCCTTTTAAAAAACCAGCTTGAACACCTGGAAGTTCATAGTTCATGTATTGCTGAAGCCTGGCTTGGAGAATTTTGAGCATTACTTTACTAGCGTGTGAGATGAGTGCAATTGTGCAGTAGTTTGAGCATTCTTTGGCATTGCCTTTCTTTGGGATTGAAATGAAAACTGACCTTTTCTAGTCCTGTGCCACTGCTTATTTTTCCAAATTTGCTGGCATATTGAGTGCAGCAATTTCACAGCATCATCTTTTAGGATTTGAAATAGCTCGACTGGAATTCCATCACCTCCACCAGCTTTGTTTGTGATGCTTCCTAAGGCCCACTTGACTCACATTCCAGGATGTCTGGCTCTAGGTGAGTGATCATACTATCATGATTATCTGGGTCATGAAGATCTTTTTGTATAGA